ATATATATATATGTATTTGCATTTGGATCAATGATAAACTTGATTTTTTGATATAAAAAAATATAACTCTTTATTTTATTTATTAAAAATAGAAACATGTAATTAATTTTTTATTTTTTATTTTTAAACTCTCTAGTGAGCCAACCTACCTACCCGTGATGATCGAGACAGGTTAGAATTTTTTTGGCTCATCAGAAAGTGAGTCAAGTTGGGTTAGTCTGTTTAAAGCACCAACCTTTGATGAGTCAACTCGTGTGAGTCGGGTTTGCTCACTTTGACACCTCTAGTTTCATGAATGAAATGGAATATGATAATGAGAGTGGATGAGAAGAAATAAATCATCCAAAAGTCATTTAATTTATTTTTAAAACTAAATTCAAAATTAAACTTTACTTTGTCACGTGTACTTAGTTTGTAACTGTTACATGCCAAATGGGAGAGAAAATACATCCTAACATGGCAAATTAACTATTGACTAGTCATGAGACTAATAGAGTAAGTAATCGAGTACCACGTAATAACTAACTTGCATAATTAATTTAAAATTTAGCGACGTAGATTGTGAAAAAAAAAATTAATTTTTTTTACTCCTTAGTCATAGGATAGAGAATACTTTGTTGGAATAAGAAAAATCACTTTAGTGATCTTTATGTTTTGAAAGTAAAATTTTTATTATGGAATATCTTTTACTTACACACACAAAACAATGTTGCTAACATTCCTCTAATATTAAGCCTTTGACGAGTTAACCTTGCTTGGTACTCAAATGAGGAGTCTCAACTTTCATTTGGCAGCTATAAAACTATTAACTCATTTTAATGTAGCACAACATTATGTGATAAATTCTATAGTCATCAAGCAAGAAGAATTATCTCCCATTCCATTGTTTGTAATTCCATTTGAAATAAGATGTACGGATTTCTTTTTTTTCTTTTTTCTTTCAAATACATTTCTAACTTTTTATAATTATTATTGTATATTATAAACATGTCATAGTTTTATGTATATTATAAACCGCTATATGACTTCAAGTGTAGTGATGACAATTTTCGAAGTGAAGCTCGAGGAAAAATTGGATTGGTGGTGAGTCTAGGGACCTAACAGGATGGAATGAATGAAATGAGATTTTGAATGTTACCTAACAAGGTGTACGACAAGCTATAATTTCCACATAGGATTACATGCGAGTGTAAAGGTATCTCAACCACATATAAATGATTGTGTGGTTAGTGACCACGATCTAATTAATCTCAAGTTCGATATCAGTCACATGCAATAGGACCGAATGTTGCACAAAGGGTAATAATGGAGGCCTAATATTACTTTAGAAGACAGATCCGCATATAACTTTTTATATTTTTATGTGAGTGCCTTTTTATATTACTAGCTGTTTAATGATGTATTGCCGCGGATCATAATATATTAATATATATATATATATATATATAATATTATTAAAAATAATAAAAAATTAAAAACATGTATTATGTTACAAAGTAGGATTTGGACTATGTTACTCCGAATTAAGATAGAACATAATTACTATTAACTTTCACTCTTTTACTTTGGATCTTTCTCTTTGGCTATCATAAGGTGGTGATGCTGAGTGAGTTGGGTTTGCTAGCTGGTGTTCAGAGTTCTCTCTTCTCCTTTCCGTGTTCGTTCGAGCTCTTCTTCGTCTTCTCTTTCGTTCTTCGCGGTCCCGAAGCTCGGATTGTTGTACCGAGGTAAGGGAAGCTAGGACTTCTTGCCGATTGTGTGTTGTAGTGAGCTAGGACTCACGAATTTCGGAGATTTCCCAAGATTTTGAGCTGTTTTGGATGAAAACTCATATTTCGGGGTTTTCGGGTTTTTGAAGAAAATTTGGGTTTTTCTTGGATTTCAAGTTGCATGTTGAAAATGAGGTGTTTTTCTTGATGTTTGATGAAAATGTGGACTTTTGGATGGATTGCATTCTAGTTTTATGGTTGTTTTTGTAGGGTTGGGTGAAAATTTTTGAACTTGGTGAGCTGCTGCTAAGCTTCGCGCCGAGCGCCGTTCTTCGCGCCGAGCGCGAGACCTTGGGAGGTCTCTGCCTTCTACGCGCTGGGCGCGGATAAATATAATATATATATATATATATATATATATATAAAATTAATTAAACTTTTAAAGTTATTAAGCGGTGTAACAAATCTAATATTTTACATATGTAATGTAGAAGGTCTTCTCATTATAACTATGGAACTATGGAAGTACAAGCTAAATAATTCATAGTAGGTTATTATTTAGGCTTGCTTTGTGATTTTTTACATATGTAATTGAGTACCTCTAGTGCTTTCATATTATATATAATACTTATTGGTTGGCTGATAAATTTTTTTTTATCAAAATATTATATTTGTGTGAAACAATGCGTCAAAAATTAAATATGAATTAATAATGTTGCGGGTTGCATCAATTGTCCCGTGGCGGAGGCTAGGTGAGCCAAGTCAACATGGCCCTTGGGCTGCTGCGCTCTTAAGTAAAAAGAGTTGTGCCCTGACTATCAGCTATAATTTTTGGCCTAGTGGTAAGCGCTCGATCCAACAAATAACATGAAGAAAATAACAAAGTTATTGTTGTTATTATTATTATTTACACGAATAATAAATCGTGTAATGAAATGTGTTATTTAATTATAAGAAGTTATTATTATAGTGAAATGTTTTTAACAAGCTTATATATATATATATATATATTTCTTTTTCTTTTAAAAATTATATATTTTTAAATAAATAAAAAATATTCTTAATTTTTCTAATTTTTTAATTTTATATTTTAACGTTCGATTTAACATTTTTTCTTTTTATTTTTCATACATTTTATTTTTTAGTTTTCATTGCACCTTGTATTTTATTATGCTCTTTAACTATTCTAGTAAATAGATAATATATATTTTTTATTTTCACATTACTTTCTTTTTCACCTTCCTTCTTTCAGTTTTCACACGCAACAAACCATAGAATTAGTGTGTAATGGCATTGTAGGCACGAGCGACTTCCTCATTGGTGTCGAAGATGTTGAGCCAGACACATATTTTTTCTTTGAACATTTCCTCCCCTTTCACATTTTCAGAAACCTTAACATTAAATTTGGTATCCCAGAAAATACTTTTCAGAACATTAATTTTAATATTATGTAAAATATTTTCTCAAATAGTTCCATTAGTATTTCGAAAAGTTTTTTTTCTTAGAATTATGTTTTTTACGTACTTTCGAAATATTAGATTTATTATTTTAGAAAAAACTTTTCAGAATTATTTAAACAACACACTTTTGAAAAGTTATTTTCGAAACAGTAAATTTAGTATTCCGGAAGTACTTTCTAAAATTATTTAAAAAATTCAATTCCAAAAAAATACTTTTTAAAACACTAATTTTACTATGCCGAAAACTACGTTATGGAAAATTGAAATTAATGTTTTAAAAAGGAAGGAAGTGCTTAAAAAAAACACATTTGACTTGTCACCTTCAACACTGTCGAGCAAGCTGCATGCGCCTACAACGCCATCATGCATTATTTATACGTTTTGAGTGTGTGTGAAAATTAAAAGGAAAAAAAATAATAATGTAAAAATCGAAAGAATTAAAACTACTTATTA